GCTAGGTTTTTTTTTTTCTAATTTCGCGCGATGTGGTTATGGACACGGACGGTGGCGGCGGCGGACAACTGCGCGTGACCCGAGTTTGGATCTAATAACAGCTTTCGCTGTAAGAACCTAGTAATTATGACACAGTGAGGCTCGAACCCGGGTCCGCTGGGTGCCAGCCCAGTATTCTACCACTGAGACACGCAAGTGCTTGAGACTTGTTGGCAAACTTGCCTCAGGCAGGCTTGATGTCGGGAAAGCAATCGCGCTAATACGACTTATAAAGCGTTTTAAAACAGCGAAACTACAAGCAGTCGTCGCACAATGCGAATAGCGTAACGAGTGGGTCGTCCAATGCTCTAACCCATTACAAAAGCTTGTTTTTGCTGAGCTATTAACTGTGGCACATACCCACTTCAGGCATAATTCCTCATCGTTGTCAGACACTTCATGAACAATTGGCATAAAATTCCTCGCAACAGTTTAGTGGACCACGCTTCTCAGAAGAATGACAAAAAAAAGCATAGCAAATGCTGGCGTATAACCGTAAAATTTTAATTATGATGCCGTAATAGGCATCAAGCAAGTGTGCTTGCAGCAGTTTCTAAACACCTAATGGCTGTGTTCCAATACTCACCTTAGACGGCTAATTAGACAGCTATAGATGGACGGCGGCCATCTTAAGTCCTATTCCAATTCTCACGTAGCCGGCAAAGTAGACAGTTCCGAGAAGACCGCATCGTAGACAAATACGATGCAGGCTACTTTGCCGTCTAAACAAGATGGCGACTCAGCGAATCGCTCAGATAGATCAAATCTCGCCAGAATGGCCGTCTGCACACAAGCAGACGCTTTCCCAGACGCTCAATGTGAATAACGTTTATTTGTTTTTGATTTCAACACGAAATAAGTCAGAAAATACAACTGTTACGTTTGTTTCTTTTAGCTTTTTCTTCTCGACGCAAGGTGGCGCATCGTCGCGTAAAGGCTGTCTAAACATGTTGCGTAAAAGCTGTCTAAACAGCACGGGCTCAGTGCGGTCTTCTAAGCAGTCTGTGTAGACTTTCTACGTGCTGTCTAAGAATTGGAACACAGCCAATGAGTGTTTAGAAAATGCCCTGAAAGGCCGTTCTTCTAGCTTTCGCTGTGACTTTGCTACGCCTTCCGTGCAGGCTTGGCTTTTTTTTTTTCAATGTTTCTTGAAACTTTCCTGCTGAGCAACTTACAACGTTCTAGCCATGTCGTGCTGTTTTTGTGGCATTTATTATTTGTAGCGTCAATGCGCGCAGCTCACTACAAAAAAATGCTGACCTAAATAGGGTTTAGGGGCCCTTCTACAGAAAATGAAGTGGTGATAGTGATAGTGCACGAGATGGGTGCAGTAAGTGGGTGTTTCTGGCAGTGGTTGCCAACTCTTCCAGTGACGTGTTAATAATGTTCGCATCATTGGTTAGTAATTGGCACTGCCTCTCGTTCTACTCTGATTTGCTCAAATCTTTCAACTGTGTGCGTGCTTCCGACAACCATATTGTTTTTGCAACTGCCAGGAACTACTACTGAGGCTGTTATTTTTCTCTTTGCTTGCGTTTCAATTATTATTTCCGGTTTCACCCGACTTGTTTGTGTCGTTGGCTTGGGTCTGTCCTGGGCACCGAAAGAAGCAGCTCAAGTGGCTGTGCAGTTGTGGTTATTATGGAAGCGCATTTGGACTTAATAAGTGGAAACCAGGATGACTGCGTGCGTGAGCGTACTCAAGGCGTAATGAATAAGAAAGTTGATCGATCAGTAATAGCGCGCTATCACCCAAGCATTGTAGTAATTCTTAACCAACGTTGTCACTTTTGTTCCTACAATCGCAATACTTTATGAGTTCATGGTTTTTTAATACTAATTATACAAAAAAGAAATAGCAGCCGTGCTGATATTCCACAGAAGATCAAGCAGCTTGGTGATTCAGTGCTAATAATAGTAATAATCCATCAATCAATCAATCAATCATTTCTTTAACGTGTCTTGGAACGATCAAGAGGTCCTAGTGCAGGCGCACGCAAAAATAAAATCATACAAATAAACAATAAAAAGAATAATTATCAATAAATCTACACAAATAAATAATACAATACAGACACTCTTCAGTAAAATTAAATAAACAGTGAAAACACACAGAAAAAGAAATCAGCGCAAATTAGAAAGAATAAAAAGACGAGACTAGAATCATAGAAGGGAAGTGAAAAATGAAGGAAACCTTCCTGAAGGACGCAAAGAGAAGAATCTGCACATTGTGTAGAGCTGAGATAAAAACAATGACAGAGGACTGTGAAAACATCATCATAAGATTTAACGTTATAAAGGCTTTGTATTCTGTGAACGGTAGTGTTGAAAGAAGTTGGCAGGTACATGAAATGGTCCATTCTCTCTGGTTAACTTTCTCAGAATAGAAAATCCACAACTGAGAAGTAAGGGGAAAGATCGCATACCGTGAAATAATAATAATAATAATAATAATAATAATAATAATAATAATAATAATAATAATAATAATAATAATAATAATAATAATAATAATAATAATAATAATAATAATAATAATAATAATAATAATAATAATAATAATAATAACAACAATAATAATAATATTAATATAATAATAATATCTGCGGTTCAACGTCGGAAGAACACGCGTGCATCTGCGTTGCTCTTTTACATAAATCACCAGCCGGCGGCCACTCACTGCCTTTGCTCTTTGCACGATTTTATGGAAAGCACGCGCGAGCAACGAAGGGAGGAGTTGCGAAGGCTCTCTCCACGCTGGTATGCACGCAAATGTGAATAACAGCCCATCGCGTAACGCGCTAAGCACGCCTCGTTGCAACCTCGCCGTCGTCATTGCGTGCAATATCGTTAAGACAACGCCCAGCTACTTCTTCTCATTGCTAATGGACTCCTCTGCTATGGCGTCCAACGGTGACGCTTGGAATGCGCCTACTGCATGATGAAGCTAGGCGTATACGCGCGCCAAGCGAAACTGAAATATTCTTGTGATCCATGTACTTGTTGCAATGAGCTCCTGCATGGAAGGACAAGCACTTTCTCTGCAAGCATACTTCTTGCTTCGTTTGCTCGGGAAAACATGGCACGCCAAGTTACCGCAAGCTGCCATTAACACCCTCTACAGTTGCTCGCCGCTCATAACGCCTCCTCATAGTACATCTCCTGGAGCAAAACGTAAGGTACAACGGGATGCTGCAAGCACATTCATTTGTATAAGGAGATATTGTGCCTTTAAGCGAGGTATTGAGGCTTAATCCCTTCAGGTATTTTATGATTTCGCGTTTATGTGTCACGGGTTGATTGACGTATGAGGTTTGACGTTCCAGAACCATCATATGTTTATGAGAGACGCCGTAGAGGAGGGCTCCGGAAATTTTGCCCACCCGGGGTTTCTTAACGTGCACCCAAATCTGACAACACGGGCCTACAACGATTCCGCCTCCATCGAAAATGCAGCCACCGCAGCTGGAATTGAGCCCCGCGACCTGCGGGTCAGCAGCCGAGTACCTTAGCAGTATACCACCGCGGTGGTGCGTTGGGTACTTTTGTCCAACCAAGGTTTGATATCGCTTACTATGCGAAAGCAAGTGATAAGCTAAGCGTCATACAGGGATTAAAAGAAATCAATAATTAGAGCATACACAAATATATATATATATATATATATATATATATATATATATATATATATATATATATATATATATATATATATATATATATATATATATATATATATATATATATATATATATATATATATATACCGACTGTTCAACAATCGCCTACTACCCTTCTCCCTCCCATCCGTCGAGCGATTGAACAGGAAATAGCGGAGGTAATGCCTGCGTACCACCCTCCACAGCCTCCGGCTCCTGCGCCCCTGAGTTACGCGCAAGTGGTCGCCAGGCCGCCCCAAGTCGTTCCAGCACCCGCCCCTCTGACTTACGCCGAAGCTGCCGCTCGACCTCCGTCCTTTGCAGCGGGTATGCCCGCTACGTATGTTGACGTAACCCCTCAGCCTCAGTTTCAGTCCACCATGCAGCCACCGTTCCGTCCATCAGCCCTTGCGACATGGGTGAGACCTACCCCGCACCTCCACCAAATTGTTAAGGCGTTTATTAGCCGGCAATGAGCGAGAATATACAATGGCGACAGTCACAGCCAAGCACGGGCTCTCAGCGCGAGCGGCGTCCTTGTTGGGTAGCCCCACTAGAAGGTACTCAAGAGCTCGACCCATTTCCGAGTTCGGAGGCTTCGCTACAATTTATATATATATATATATATATATATATATATATATCTATATTATATATATATATATATATATATATATATATATATATATATATATATATATATATATATAAATATATATATATATATATATATATATATATATATATAAATATATATATATATATATATATATATATATATATATATATATATATATATATATATATATATATATATATATATATATATATATATATAAGCATATGCACACACACCAGATACGTACAGTCACATGTATATATTCAAGCATTCGTGCGATGAGTTAATTATTTCATGGGGGCGTATACGTGTGGGTGATTGTGAATGTGTCGCGTGTTTGCGCTCTAATTTTTTTAGTGATATACCAACTAGTGCAACAACAAGTTCTTTGCCATACAGAAAATTCTTAGTCACGTTAATTCTTGAGCTTCGTGAATGAGCATATATGTGTAGTAGACGAGCATATACATGAAATAGCGCATTAAGAAATGCATTTGTAAATGCATTTATAGTCCTTTATGTGTATTTGCCAAGGCACCTGCCCTATTAATATCAGTGGTATTTGTTGTCTTACTGACTGCACATCAAGCTTCTGGTTAGCTGGCACGTAAATACTTGTATTATGCTTGCTTATATCGCTATAGCGTGGGTGTCACTAAGTGTCAATCTGTCTTCCTCTCCAGTTGTCACGGCCACCTCCATGCCTCCACCTATTGGCACCTTTCAAGCACTACAAGCGCCAGAGAGCGCTGATGGGGCCAACTCAGTGCCAAGCGAAGTTGTTGACACGAGAGCCAAAACCGAACGGTTACGTGAAATCAGCACCGAGGTCGAGATCACAAACGCGACCGACACCAGCGGCCACCTACATGCCACCGACAACGTGGTGAAGAATTTGTCGAAGAACGTGGTGGTGAAATCTGCATCTACCTTTCAACCGGCAAACGCAGAAGAAGATGATGCCTCTATTCTTGACGACGACTCTACACCAACATCAGCGGGCCCTAGTTCATCGGAGGAGTCCCGAATGGAAGCACTTAGGTCAATGGAATCGGTGACAATACGACCAGAAGAGGCAGTTGACGATGCCAAGGAGCAACAACAGAACTTCCCCAAGGAGCACTCGGGCACCTTAGTGGCGCGCGGACCCGAGCCTGACAGGAGTGAGTATGACGCAAGCTACTTGGGAACACTTCTATTGCGATATGAGATGGTATACGACCTTTGTCGTTTCGCTTCTACAAGATATGAACGCAACTGAAGTAGGTATAACGTATATAGATTGGGCTAGTTCGAGCATACTCATGATGACCAGGGCAAACAAGACACGTGTCGTGTACTTTCTTGCGTTTCGTGTCTCGTTCGCGCTCGCCCCCAAGAAATAGATGCTTTTTCAAGGAACTTAGCGAACAAATAGCAGCCCAAACAAGTAATTTGAGGCCACCTTGAGTGGTTAGGAGGTGCACATCACAAAAAGTATGCTTTCCCTTCCCCAGTGCAGGGTACCAAACCAGACACTTGCTTTCTGGTTAACCTTCTTGCCTTTTATCATACCATATCTCTCTCTCTCTCTCTCTTTGAGCGTCGCCTTCAAAATAGCGTAATCGGCCCCCGTGCGTATCACCTCCAACCGTGCTTCCAGGAAAGGATGCGTAATAGTGGCCCTTTAAAACTATCCTAGGTAAAATACTTATAACAAATGCAGTTGTGAAGTGTTCACTGTGCCACTATTCTCCATTGCGGAAGTCTCTGAAGTACCCGCTACAAGTCCGCAAGGTACGAGGTGCAGCTGCACACATTTTAATTGGTTCTCATCTTCAAACTACCCACGAATTGTACAAATTACATGTTAGGATGCCTGGTGCTATACTATGATTCTCTCAAGCAATATCACATCCGTTACTCCTCCCAGTACATGACATTTTGATGGGGCCCTCTTCTTTTTTTTTCTTTATTACGAAGCAGTTTCAAGCACTGGTGCAGCTCCGTGGTAGAAGCCTTAATTCGATTCTCACGCCCGTGTTGACGCCGGTGGCGAAATCCAGTCGAGAGTGTCCATATAATTGCTATCGCAATAATATCCTTGTGCGCAGGCCGGCGTCCGGAGTACGACTTCGACAACCCGACAAGCGGCGGCACCAACGTCTACATCGTGGCTATCGTGGGTGTCGTGCCAGCGGCCGGAGCGGTCATCTGGTGCGTCCGAAAGATGATCGCCAAGAAAAGGGAGGTCAGTGTATGCAGGCATACTTTACCTAACACCACCTCTACCACTGCTGTACTTCTACAATTACTGTAGAAATTAGCGTGATTGCCATATTAAGGAAGAGACACGCAAGCGCAACAAGTTCAAGAATATTCACTCAAGGTCCCCATAAATTAGCTATCGTAGCTTTCAAGCATGATGTGTACTGTTTCGAGAACACTTTCGTTGGGCTTTGTTTGTGACAATAATTAGCCAAAGTCGTCAAGTTGTGTGCGTTTGTACTCGACATAAATCAGCATTTTTAGCCACAGCGCAATGTGCAGTCAAACCGAATTATATTGTACCCCGGTAAATCAAGTTATCTTTTATATAGAAGTGTTTTCTAACACAACAATGATTTAACGTCAATGCGTAGAGAAAATCTACAGCTACATCAGACAAAAATGGCTGGAACACTTCGTATATTGAAACACTCAAAGAAGTTAGCGTTCCATCACAATAAGCTGGCTTCTCTTCATGGGAGTGGGGCTTTCTCGCATGCATTTGGGAGAGCGAGTGGTGTGATTAAAAAGGCACCACGCAGACTAAGCAGCAGTATTTCATGAAATACGCTGCTTACTCCGGTGACGTGTTTTGTCTTGAACATAACACAACTCGGGGGGGGGGGGGGGGGGCATTTGCGCGTATTGTTGTGAAGTTGGCTTCTTTTGCAATATTTTCAAGTGGTGCCAAGAAGACATCTGGGACCTAAATCCGCATCGAAAGTGTGGTTATTTTATCGAATTGTTTGTTATGGCGAACAAAGCCCTGTTTGGTACGAGTTAGATATATGCGGGTAGAACTGTGTTAGTTCAGAGGGGTCGACTACACAGCCGCTCTTGTTAGGAGTGCTGATGATTCGTTTATACTAAACTTTTTTCTTGGTTCGGGACAGTCCAGACAGGGAAGATAGTGAAAGATAGGTGAAATCTATGTGCAGACATGTGTGCTAGAAACTTGGTTGTTCCAATGGGGACAATGGTACAGAATCGTTCTTAAGCGTGCAAAAGTTCCGCTGCTGTATAGCTTTTACTGACAGCGGAGTGGCTTCATTCACTCCCTGTTCTTCAGCAGCTCGAACACCTTCATTTGCGTGCTCTTTGCCCGATACACCGAGCGGATTGAAAGCCACCGAAGCGTGACCTCGTACCTTCGCTCAAATAAGTGATGAAGAAGTTCTAAAGGTCCTGTACGGCTGGCACTGGTATAATGTCCATTGCGTATTAGACGGTAAGCGATTCGGAGTTGCGTTGTACTTGGCTAAATTACTACATTTTCGGCAAAATTACTCGCAATTATCACGAAGCGCGTCAAGAGAAGAGCCATCAGCTTCAGGGCGATGTTGTTTGTGAAATCCTTAAAATTATATTGGGTGGAATTTAGCGAGATGTATCACCAATCGATCCTTTTACTTCGTACAATTGGCTTAACGCAGCTTTCGAAAAACTGGTTTCTTTCGCATTCGCAACGCACTGCAGTGCTCCTTGCGGTGAATACGGCAGCAAAACAAAACAAAACAAGTAATCGATTACGCTACTTGGGATGTGGTTGCTTCAGCGCAAGCGGACAGTTCCTCGCGACTCCGTTGTCTTTTCTTAAAGACCATGCCACATGAGAGCAGACAAATGCCAACCTAAACGGTTTTCAAGCCAGAAGTAGGTCAAGGTGTGATTGAAGTATCAACACTCGTGTGGCCTACGTACCTTCTACCAGCCATAATATTGTCTTCTATAATAAAAATTAAGGCGGCTTCGCTCTAGGGGTGACAAACCGGAAGCACCCTTTTTTGTTTCTTTTTGTTTTTATCCTCCTTTCCTCCTCTTTATTTCATCTCTTTTTTCTGTTTTTTTCTGCGCTTTTTTTCTTTACTTCTATTCTAATTCTCATTTTTCTTCCTGCCTTCTTTATTTCGTCCTCCCTCTTTTCATTTCTCGCTTGCTTCCTCTTTTTCATTTTTATACGTGGTTTCGCCTGCGTTACTCTTCGCCAAGCGACGACAGCCCGGCCACCTGAAGGACTCCGCACTTAAACGTTCCGCCTTTCATTGACTGCGAATGACACCCGCCTTGTTGCTTGAAACCATCACTGCTAGATAGCTAAAACATGATTGGAGTGAGGCGCCAACATTTTTCCGTCAACTATATGAACACCATACTGGAGGATTTAAGATGCGTCTTGTTAATTTCCAGTGCATGATTGTATTGACACTTGTTGGGGCACAGCAGAATCCGCGGAAGGACATAACAGTAGTATTAAAAAAAAGAAGAGTCGTATTCCAATAAAAGTTCATGGAAATAAGAGATATACGTTCTTTTATGGCTTCCTTAGAGTTGTATTATGATGAAGTTGTTCCGTAGCTCTTTTTTGTTTTTTTTATTAGGTCGTAACCCCCTGTCTCACAACCAAAAGAATTTTGTAAAACAACACTTTGCATCCTTGTTTTCTGTTTGTTGTGTGTTTTGCTCAACCTGCTTGCTATTTTTGTACGCAGTATTTTATAAATTGGCAAACTAACTAAATAAACAAATATACACGTCACGCACAATATCTACGAGACATTTTGTAATAACGTGGGTCTATTATCCTAGATGCAAAAAAACTAAAAAGGGGCTCTTAGGTCAGCTGACACATATTAAACAGAGGAACAGTGAATTGAATAATACCACCAATAACAAATGAATTAATGACTAGTACTAAAGCTCTGCACAGGTCACTGATGTGGGCACTCAACAAAGCATTACAGCAGCGAAAACGATAATTAAAAGCGTTATTGTAGGTTGTGGTGGAAAGATTCTAAATAATTAATTAAGAGGACGGGCATCGGCACCAAGGCAGTTTCCTCTGTCTCGCTTCTTATTAATACTAATGTCACACGACGCACTACTCATTAAGATTAGGCCGGATCGAAAATATATCTCTCAACAACAATTGGCTTTCTTCACCATTTTGTGTAAAGGAGCCAATCACGATTAAATGAATTCTATGCTGATCTGACCCGATCGCAATCAAAAGTAACCGTGCGACACCGATATTTTTTAGGGGGCAGTGTGAGGGCTTTACGGCACTTAGAAGCATAATTTATTTAAAGTCGCATGGGTCTGCTAAGATCCTATACATTATTTGCAGTCTTGATTAAGGTTGCATTTCTAGAACATGCGGAATTGTATTATAAGCTAAGGTAGTGTATTTTAACGCAATCTACTACAAAGAGGGCTGTCATAAGGAACGTAGTGTGCTTGCGACAATCTATATACGGCTCTTCAACGTACGTCTAAAATGCAACTACATGAGTGTATTTGTAATTTATCCACACCGATTGGAATACGAGCTCCACTGCCGGCTATCTAACTGGTGACTTCACATGGAGCCGCAGAAAATCATACGCTCTCTGTCACCACAGCAGGCGAGGCGGAAAATACCTACATGAGAAGTGGAACTTTCCAAGAAGCTAATTAAAAATACTTACTAAGTTCGTTAAATATTATCTTTAAGGCACATATCGTATCGCAATAGCGAAATTGAAGCACAGCTGCCTCGCAGTCATATTTAATAAAATCTGATCTTCTGAGGAACACTCATACGAACATTTTATTGCTACTCACCGGGAAGCTCTGTCAACAGTGCCACAAATGACCACAATTTTCTTAATATATTTTGTACGCTTCAATGACAGCGACTTGTATTGCTCTTTTATTTATTTATTTATTTATTTATTCACAGAACAAAGAAAATCCGGACGCGCCACCAGCAGAAGAGGATGATAAGCATACGGTGGAGCAAGATCCTCCGACCAAGTATAGCTACATCCAGGACGCTTACAACAAGATGTATGCAAAGACGATCGGAGAGCTAATGCCTACGGTCAGTGTGCCACAATATCAAGTACATCATGTGATGATTTCTATTTCACGGGATGCAGTAATGCGCCTAACTGTAAAAATGGCTATTCTTGTCACGGGCTGCGGCATAAAAGTGCACTCTCTAGCTTGTCGCTTTGTCTCTCTCTTTCATCACCTTGATCCTTTGTGGTGTAGCGAGTCTGGCTTCAGTGTACTAGTGAAAGTGTTCTCGGTGTTGTGTTGGGGTTTCGCCAGTGCGGCAGACGCGGTGACGTGTAGGTGGCGTGGGCAATACAGCGGCACCGTGCCACGGACATGTGCGGCGCATGGAAAATGAAGACGTTGGTGGGCAATCGCATGTGTCAGCGGATGACTGCAAAAATATTTCATACTTAAATTTGTTATATTAGTTAGTTCTAGCTTATATTAGTAGTATAATAAAGAAAATGCTGACAAAATTCACCTATACTACTCTTCATATCCCCTGCATTGGATGTGAGCCATCAGAGAAGGAGAAGAAAAAGAAGAAGAAGGACCGTGACTATTTCCAGGCTACAAACAAACCAATTACAAGGTGGCACGGTGGCGGCAGAGGATAAAATGACGAGAACCAATCACAAGGTGACACGCCAGCGGGAGAGAAAAAGAGAACGATGATGGACTAGAACTATTAGCTCATGTAATCAATTATTGGCCGATCCCCCTGAGTGGGTATGAGTCACATTTGAAGGCATCATCATCATCATTTAATGCGGAGAGTCTCACTTCGACCGCACAGAGGAAGAGACGCTGGCGTCAGGGTCTGTGCCGCCGAGCTTCGGGTTCGAGTACAGAGGGCCTGACAGCGTCTGTCTCCAGACGTCCATGGAAACGGCCGATCCTGGGGACGAGGTGTTACCTCCATCCACGCAGCTGAATTGGGCAGCCGAACCTCCGTGGCGAGCCGGCTTCGCCACCCCGTTTGCCAGTGGAGACCGGAAGAAGCCAGAGCGACACGACGCTGGTGCCAGGGGTCGTACTGTCGACCTTCGGGAGAGAGTACGAAGGACTCGACAACGTTGAAGGGTCTTCGCAACCAGTCGCTCACGGTTTCTGCTGCCACCTGCTTCACCCGTGCCGACCAAGCACCTGTTTTCTTCCTGGGGCCGACGTACGTGGACAAGAAGATTGCAGGCCTGCGTGCCTGGGACCCTCAGTCCACGACGTCGCAGCTTGCCTGCCTGCCTGCCTCCTCGTCCACCCACGAGCGCTCGTGCCACCAACTCAACGTCTCCGCACCGACTGCCCCGTCCCGGCCAACGCAAGCGTCGCAACATCTGGTGACATTGAACTTTTCTTTGAACAGTCCGCGAGACTTGATTGTCAAGATATCGTCGGTCGCGGTAGTTCTAACGTGTCTTTTTCTGTTTGTTCCGATTGCTTGTTTCTTTTTATATTTTTCCGTGTGGTCATAACGTTTTGTGAGTGTGAGTTGTTTAGAAATGCCTTCTTCCTTTCCCGGTTGAGTCGTTGCCTCAAGTGAAAATATACAGAACACAAAACATACACAACAGCGAACCACACACGTGTCCAGGTTACCTCTGTGCCCGTCTTATCCCCACGTCGCTCATTCTTGATCAGTGCCTTAGGCAGTTACGCGCACATGTTAATGAGAGCGGGACCAACCAATATATAGTAGGTTGGTCCTACTCTTAAATTATCTCGCTAAAACAATGAAAGCTCACATTACTTTAACACTTGAGTATTTTTCGGCATTTTTCGAGAAATCGTCGTCCCCAAACTGCAATCAACTGGGGGACAACAATGACCTGAACAGTGTCGGAGGCTATATAAACCGCCATCTCTTATTCAGCTCTCGCTGACTTCAATAAGACTAGGGAAGATTTTATACTGGTGGTAAATATGCTTTCTGCGACAACCGAGGCTTGCCGTACGCGTTATCCAGGTGCGTGCAGACCCTTAGAAAGCGTTTCGCCCTGGAGGACATAATTAAAGATTGAGGGAAAACGACACACTAAGCTTTTAGTGTAACATGTGCCCTCATTCTTCGTCCGCGTCGTTTGACAGAAAACGCTTTTCAAAAGACAGAACCAACTCGCCAAGATTGCCACTTTCTCCACAAACCCATATATGTGTTTGTTGAAGCAGGCTTCACTGCAATTAGAAACTTTGTGAGGAGAAGCCCGCTTCAAAACTCAACTTTTTTTTTTTTTACATGCCCGTGGCCGAGAACACTACCGTAGCAACTCTGAGTCAATAAACAGCTCAATGCTATACCCCTGTTTCCCCATCAGAGTTCAGCGCCACCGTATCCTCGTGCCAGCGCTCCGGTGGCCTCGAGTCCGGACGAAGTGCCGCGGGACGACGTGCGCTTGGAGCGCGTGTTGGGTGAAGGAAACTTCGGTCGTGTGTGGAAGGCCACGGCGTACGGACTCAACGGCTCCAAGAGGTCCACGCCAGTCGCCGTCAAGACCCTCAAAGGTACATTGAGCTTCCGTATTCATAACTTCTCTGGCATACTTCTTCGCGCTGCTGGTGATGTTGGCTGTGCGCAATCAGCGTAAGTATTCTCAACAAGGAAATGTAAAGCCTGCAGCCATTTTCATAACGTGCACGTAGTATAGTTTTCTTGCCTGTACTCTATCACGCAGCGTTCCTGATAGAGGGCGGGAAAAATGTGAGGCGTCATGACACTTTCTCCAGTCGCAGACCTAAGTTCTAATTTTCGCATTTCAGACAGAGAGGTGAACGCGTTGTCGCATAATATTCGACAGGTTTAGAGCTGTATTTGACAGTTACATGCGTGGGCTTGTGGTACTCTTGCATTATAAGAAAAAAATAAGAACATCTAAAGCGGGGGAAAAAAAGGGCTGTGCCTGGCGCCCTGCAAATGGCATCGACATCAACTACGCGCCCTCCGTTTGTGTTCCTCCGTCACACGTGCTTCTGTACGCAAAAACCTAGTTGTCGTGTAGTGTGCAACATGAAAACATGAAGAGACCAGTGCATTCGTTACCATTGATGACAACAAAGTTTAGTACAAAGGACAAATTCTGAGGCAACGAAAAGACTCCCGAAAACGTCATAGTAGAGTTCGCCATTAATTGTCTTCCTTGGTAAATCTGAAATCATCGTGCATTTACAATAATTCTCTGCTGTGTTTCCTCATACAGCGCTAATATTTATCGAACATCGAATCCGATCGACGACCTATTATTCAAGGATCTCTTGAAAGGCTCAAGATGTTGCTGTAGTGTTGTTACTAAACGTTAAATTTAGGATGACTTATGCAAATTTTTATCCGCCTGTTTTAGGCGAAAAAAATCCAATTTTTATTAGCGACCAAGCATGTTTACAAGAATGCAAATACTTCTTAAGTATTTTATTACTTGTCTTAAAGTTTTTAACGCATCTTTTTTCCGGACACTTGTCCTTTCAGAAAGCGTTTCTTCTGATAAATAGTAACCGAGAAGCTAACAATGATCATTAAACCCTCAGTCAAGCTATGACGGGCTACTCCGTATGCAAGACAGTAGCGAGGCGTGAATCACACGCCATTTAATAAATCATGTGCACTTCATAGCAGCTGCAAAAATATTCCGAGACTGCCAAAATATTGCACGGATGGACAACAGTGCTTGAGTAGTGAGGTGGAAGTGTTTTCTAGGTCGCTCTGTTTGAGTGAAGAAAACAGAAGTAACATGGTGAAATACCAGTATTGCATGGTTCCATCTTCTTTCACATATGAGCATTTTTATGCGACATCCTTTCTTCCTTGTTTTTATTACTAACTGCTTATGCATGAAATCCTCATAATCTAGCCATAACCAGTCCCAAAGTGAAAGATTCATTCATTCATTCATTCATTCATTCATTCAAGCTTCTGTGTTCTGAAGAACACCTTTGATAGAATAAAGAATGGCGATGCTATGTGCTTTTGTCTTTTCATTCTTACTTGCGTATGCAAAGAATGAAAGCAATGAAGCCACCATGCTAGTTCGTTATATATAGCACATAAAAAATAGCCATTGGGCCTAGTATAATCCTGGTATTTAAACGAGGATTTGCATTGTGAAAATGCAAAGATAGCGTGGTGACCGATGAGGAGCGATCATCCGGTGCTGAATAGCAATTGAGACACTCTGATGTGTTTTGTTTTAGGCCAACCAGTAGGTGTAGCTTCTTTGAAACGCCCTTCAGAATGCTACATTTCAGAAGTACCAACACATTTTGACTTTTATTTTAACTCGCGTGTTTTGTTTAAAGATGATCTTCATCATTAGCCTGACTGTCCACTGCAGGAAAAAAGTCTCTCCCGTGTTCCGCCAGTCAACTCTGTCCAGTGCTTGCTATTGCCTCTTTAAAGCCACAATTTTCTTAATCTCATCTGGCCCCCTAACTTTCTGTCTCCCCCTAAACCGCTTGCCTTTTCTGGGAATCCAGTCCTTACCCTTGATGACCAGTGGTTATACCTACTACGCGCTACATGCCCGGTCCATGTCCATTTCCTCTTCTTGATTTAAACTATAAAATTCTTAATCCCGGTTTGTTCCCTAATACACTCTGCTCTCATCGTGTCTCTTAAGGTTACACCTACCATTTAACTTTCCATCGCTCGCTGCGTCGTTCTCAATTTAAGCTTAACCCTCTTTGTAAGGTTTCTGCTCCATAGCTAAGTACCGGCAAGATGCAGCTGTTATATACCCTCCTCTTGGGGGATAGTGGCAATCTACTAGTCATGATTTGAGAGTGCTTGCCAAATGTGTACCACCCCATTCTTATTCTTCTAGTTACTTCAATTTCGTGGTTAGGCTCCGCGGTTATTACCTGTCCTAAGTAGACGTAGTCTTTTACAACTTCAAGTGCACTATTACCTATATCGAAATGCTGTTATCTTCCCAGGTTGTTGTACATTACTTTCGTGTTCTGCAGATTAACTTGAAGACCTACCTTTCTACTCTCCTAGTCTAACTCCGAAATCATGAGTTGCATTTCGTCCCCCGAGTTACTCAGCAATGCAATGTAGTTGGCGAAGCGTAGGTTAGCCCCGCCGCGGTGGTCTAGTGGCTAAGGTACTCGGCTGCTGACCCGCAGGGCGCGGGTTCAAATCCCGGCTGCGGCGGCTGCATTTCCGATGGAGGCGGAAATGTTGTAGGCCCGTGTGCTCAGATTTGGGTGCACGTTAAAGAACCCCAGGTGGTCAAAATTTCCGGAGCCCTCCACTACGGCGTCTCTCATAATCATATCGTGGTTTTGGGACGTTAAACCCCACAAATCAAATCAAATCAAATCAAGCGTAGGTTACTAAGGGAGTCTCCATCAACTTTTATCCCTAACTCTTCCCATTCTAAGCCCGTTCCCATTCTAGCATTGGGGAGATTGTATCCTCCCTACCTTACGGCCTTCTTGTTTGGTATTTTGTTGCTTTCTTTATGGAACAGTATGGTGGCAGTTGATCCCCTGCAGATTTCTTCCAGGATGTTTATATATGCTTCGTCGAGCTGGTTTCGCGGGAGTTCGCAATTTCTGCATGACTGCTGATATTTCTACTGAATCAAACGCCTTCTCGTAACCTATGAAGGCTATGTATAGTGGTTGGCTGTATTCTGAGCACTTCTCTATTACCTGATTGGTAGTATGAATGTGGTCGATTGAGAAGTAGCTTGTTCGAAATCCTGCTTGTTCCTTTTGTTTATTGAATTCTAATGTTGTCTTAATTCTGTTAGTATTTACCTTTGTAAATAGCTTGTATACGATGGAGAGCAAGCTGATTGGCCTGTAATTCTTGAAGCCTTTCTCATCTCCTTTCTTATCTATTAAGATGATGTTAGCATTCTTCTAATATTCTGGTACTCTTCCCGTCAGGAGACACTTCGTAAACAGGGTGGCTCGTTTTCTAACGCAATCAGTCCTCCATCTTTCAGCAGATCTGATGTTACCTGATCCTTACCAGCAGCTTTGCCTCTTTGCATGCTCTACAAAGCTTTTCTGACTTCTATCATTACTGGTGGGATGCCATCTGGGTTACTGCTATTTACTATATAATGATCGGGGTTGTCCCGGCTACTGTACAGATCTCCGTAAAACTCCTCGGCTATTTTGTATGTCTTATTCACATTGGTAGTTACTTTGCCTTCCTTGTCCCTTGGGGCATATATCTGGTTTTTGCCTATCCCAAGTTCCCTCTTCACCGCTTTGTCACTTCTTCCGTTCTTCAGAGCATGTTCGATTCTCTCTACGTTATGCATTCTTGCATCGAATACCTTACGCCTATTAATCAAGTTCGAAAACTTCGCCAGTTCTATTTTCTCTGTTGTGTTTGAGGCTTCCATACTATGACGCTTCTTAATGAGGTTCTTCGTCTCCTGGGACAGCTTGCTAGTGTCATGTCTAACTACCGTATACCTCCAACTTCCACTGCACACTCCGTAATGATTCTCGTCAAATTATCATTCATTGCTTCGACGCTAAGGCTGGTTTCCTCAATAAGAGCTGAGTACCTGATCTGAAGCGAGACTCTGAATTCCTGTACTTTCCCTCTTAGTGCTAGCTCATTTATTGGCTTCTTGCGTAACAGTTTCTCTCGTTCCTTCTTCAGTTCTAGACAAATTTGAGACCGTACCATTCTATGGTCACTGCATCGTATCTTGCCAAGCACTTGCACATCCTGAACGATGCCTAGTTGTGCACTCAGTATAAAGTCTATTTCATTCCTACTTTCACCATTAGGGCTCCTACATGTCCACTTACGGTTCCCTCGTTTTCGCTAGAAGATACTCAAGATCCGCAAATTATTGCGTTCAGCGAATTCTACTAATAGATTCCCTCTGGCATTTCTCGTACCGATGCTATAATCTCCTACTGCCTCATCTCCAGCCTGCTTCTTCCCTACCTTGGCGTTAATGTCGCCCATAGCATACTATATTTTTACCTTATTCATTGCCGATTCCACGTCTTCATAGATGCTTTCAACTGACCCGTCATCATGGCTGGATGTAGGCACGTAAACCTGTACCACCTTGATCTTGTATCTCTTATTGAGTTCAAGTATGACACCTACCACCCTTTCATTAATGCTATGGTATTTATCTACGTTGCCAGCTACATTTATGTAGATAAGGAACCCCACGCCCAGTTCTCTTTTGTCAGTCAAGCTACGATAGCAAATGACGTGCCCATTCTGTAGCACTATATAGGCCTCATATGTCCTCCTAACATCACTTAGCTCTATTACATCCTATATAACACCCTCTAGCTCCTCGAATAGTACAGATTAACTTGCCTTACTAGATAAGGTTTTAGCGTTAAACATTGCAGTGTTCAGGTTCCAAAAATCACAGGGAGCCACAAATAAGAGATAACATCAAGAAACAACTGCGCTGGGTATTTCTGAAGACTAAGTGCATCTTTTCTAAAAGCAGCTCGAACTATAGAACAAAATTTTTATTATTGCATATATAGTAGCTAAATGTACCGGAGGAAAAAGAAGCAACTGACAAACGCAATGTAACCGCGTTCGCCTCGATGGATCAGTGGCTAGGGGGCTCGGCTGTGGAGCCGAAAGGTGCGTGTTCGATACAGGCCGCGGCGGTTGCATTTAGATGGAGACGAAATGGTAGAGGCCCATGTACTCTGCGATGTCAGTGCACAGTAAAGAACACCAGATGGTCAAGATTTCCATTGCTCTCCACAATGGCGTCACTCTTATTCACATTTTGGTTTTGGGACGTAAAAAACACATATTATTATTGCGATAGCCACATATTCTTATATATTATTGTAAAGGCAACTATATGGACAGGACAGTTTCGGCTGGATTGTGCTGCTGGTGTCGACGTGGGCGTCGATGTCATGCATCATATATGTATACTTATCTATATATATGGAAGCGCAAGAAAGAAAAAAAATAGAAAAACAAAACACTCCGGCACGCAGACTGAACGGGGGAACTCTGCATCGTGAAAGCGAGGCGTTAATCACTGAGCACCCCGGAGCACGTCCTCCGCCATTAAAACGGCAAGCTATTTATATCTACCGCTTACTGCTGCTCACGAGCGTCTCGGGGGGAATTGTATTTTCAGCATTACCAGCAAGATGGCGCAATGAGCGCGCGTCGGCACATCGCGTGGCGGCGCCCGCTTTAATCTCCCACGCGCACTTAGCCCCGGCTTAGAGAAGGAGAGCGACGCTTCCTCACGCGCCCTTATCTCGCGGTGGCGAGAAGGGGAGAATCGTACGCCTTGTCTCGCCTCGGGCTTCACCTGGAACGATTCTGCTGTAGTTACCGGGTGCACAAAGGTAACTGAAATCATTGCAGTCTCCGTTTGCTAGAAGCGCGCACTTTTCAGACACAGCAAAATAACAAATGAGACGCTTATTGACGTGCATTCGTACGTGTGAGTACGTTTCGTGCATAATTTTTGCGTGAGAAACACGGGGCACGTCTCGATTTGCTTTCCATTCTGCGCGTGACCTTTCAATTTGGTGCTGTCGCGTTAATTTCTTCACTTTCGCGGCAAAGCTATGACTTTCTTTATTATCAATGTAACCGCGAGAGCTTTTGTGTTGAGCAAAAATAATCTAGATATTCGGGACCATTTGTTCTTATTCATATTCTTCTATGCGATACGCTTTGTTTTCACGTTTGATTCAATTTACACGACAGTCAGCACGCAAAGGCTCTCGGATATTACGCGACATACTTCAAGAAGGAATCTTCATTCGTCGAGAGTGCCTCAATTGAATTATAGCTGGACGAAGGCAACAAGATTGGTACCTCATTTCCATGGAGATACCGCCGCAGGTCAACACGTGCGCAGCTCTGGCAGCTCTATGTGTATAAGAATTTTTCTACCAATACCAAGAAATACTGCTTAGGCCTGTGCCACTAATTCCTGAAATGTGTAAAGGCAGTCGCGAGTAGAACTGTGCGTGCTGTAACAGGGTACGTACTCTAGCATGCGGACTGATTCGTGAAAACACGTAGTCCTGACGCGCCATTGGTTCACCTTCAAACAAGACCACCTTCCCGATTCATGAATGTGGCTTTTCTGCAGAGTACGCGACCAACGAGGAGAAGAGAGACCTTGTGCGCGAGATGGGGCTTATGAGGAAACTGGGCCAGCACCCGCACGTCGTTCGCTTCCTGGGATGCTGCACACTCGACGGTGAGAACACCAGCTGGAGCAGAGACCGCTCCTTCTTTCGTTCTTTTAGGGCCTGTACACGCACTATCCGCACAGCTGCACCGCACGGGCAGGGATACCTGCTGCCCGTAACCGGAGAGTGAAAACGCGTCCAAAATTTGTCCCTCATGTGTGCGAAAAAACTCCCAATTCGTATGTAACACATTTATTTGGAAGCCTCACTGATTACCCCGGGTTCATTAAAAATTAGGAAGGCGAAAAACGCCTTATTGACTCATAAGGTAATGAATTATTGTGGTCTATATTCGGTGATACTGCTGAGTGTAGACCTTGAAGCAAATAAGGAATGAAAGCACGCAAAAGTATTTCATTCCTAAAAGTAACTTGCACCTTTTTAGCTCTGCCAAGGACTGAGAGGCTATGGAGAACCAAAGGCATAATGCTTTAGCTTGAGTGCTGTCCAACAATGTAATTTTGACTTAGAAGGCTCACACAGAACGCAACTCGCCCACCTATCTACCTTATTACAGAAAGCAAATATAATTTTTTCTTTGATGCTTTAAGTACATGCAAAATGTGTCCATATTTTGGCTACGTCTTGAACTTTAAGCACATTTCATTCGTGGGCCAGAAGTGGTTTCAAATGACTTTTTTTTTTGTTGCAATATACACTTACCCTAAGGCAAGTGTATATTGCAACAATATACACGACAACATAGACTTGCCCTAAGGGAAGTGTATATTGGCAAGTGTATAGAGCGATAAAATAAGTGTTACGAATTCCTTCGGCACGTCAGTTTTAATACTGCTCTTCTCCGTATACAGAGGAAAGTCAGAACTGGCTAACCTCCTCGCCAACCTTTTCTCCTCTTTCTCCTCCTCCTCATTCTCTTTCTCCTCCTCCTCCTCTACCTGATTTCTGTGAACACTGAAATAATGAATATAAGAGTAAATTTCCGTATAAACACAATGGTTATACGTAAAAGCCAAAGAGAAGTGACGGAAGTGGACTACGCTGTTTTACAGAGAAGCAGATTGACAGAGGTTTTGAAGGTGACCAATTGAACAATCAAATGCACGAGTATAAAATTATCACTATACCGTGCTCGCACACTCTTAACCTCCTTGGTCCCAGAGTTTGTTTCGGCGCCAGAAAAGCAAACGTTAAATAGGGGATGCAATAAAATTTTTTAGATAAGACAGGTTTAAAACTATTTACTCTCTAGCGGCGAAAACAGCCGTGATACGCCGCACTTTGTAAGCGCATTCGCAACTGCTGCGTGCGTTAGTCTTTCCATGAGCGTTTTACGCGATGCGATAGCGACACTTCGAGTCTTACACAACCCACCACTCCAAGCAACGCTGCCGCGTCGCCAGAAACGCGATTAGGGTAAAACAAACATTGTCACCATCATCCTGCTGCGGTCGGCTCACGCATGCTCGCGTAAGAAACATCGCTATCCGTCTTACGGAAACGCGTTTTTTCATATTCTAGCGCTTTGAGCAATCCCAAACGAGGTTGGGGAGAAAGCTGATGGCTAAATTCTTAGCATACCATTAATTCCCTTAGTGTGTGCAACCTTTTTTTTAGCTCTCCGTTACGGTGTCTGACTACTTGCATATGCTACTTGCTCAGGTCCCACGTGAGAAAGTTCTGGGTCACAGCTGAGTGGTCAGAGAGCCGCGTAACAATTGTAGTTCATGTACTTTATTTGCGCGAATATCACATAAATACACGCAAGGCTTAAACATCATAACAAGCATAAATTGCGCAAGGCATAAATTACCTTACGACCGGCATGATCACTTTCCTACTTTTCACATTAGTGAATGTGCAACTGTAAATCTAAAATTTTAGGCCAACATTTATAATATTTCAAGGACATATCGTAGTCCTCGATGGTCGGCCCTTGCAGAGAGCGACTGAGCCTTTAACCACGTTAAACGCAGTTGCTGAGCAATAAAAAGTTTTCTTTTTGTTTACGACAGTCTTCCTTGGGATATTTAAACGCAAACATTTTCGTCTGTATGATTGTCTCTTTGTGTGTTGGAGCGATTCCGCCCCCAGGCGAAAATTTAGCCCCTTGCTCAACGCCCACCCATCTTGATCTAGTGGCTGCGTTCACACTAGTAAACACTGCCAACCACACAGCAAATATTACGCATATTTAGGGCGCATCGTAAATATTCTCAGCTTTTTGTACGTCGCGTTCTTTCTGACGGATACTGCATTAATGTGGTACGAGAATCGGGAGAAAACGCTAACGACGTGGGACAGATTTGTTTCTGAGATTAAAGAGCGTTTCGGCGACCCAACAACAAAAAAGAAATGAGCAGAACAGACGCTAATGCAACGCGCTAAGTGCCAAGTGAAACTTACACGGCCTACACTGAGGAAGTAATAAAGCTATGTGGGATCATTGACTCCAGAATGTCTGAGGAAGACAAAGTCGGGCACATCCTAAAAGGAATCGCCGAGGATGTTTACAGTTTCCTCATCGTGAAGGACACCATGACATCTGTCGCCGATGTCATTCGCCATTGCCGCACTTTTGAGCATTAAAGACGAGGCGCATCACGCCGAAGTTTTGGCAGGCTAGCCCATGTGACGACTATCGCGAGTATAGACAGCAACCAGGCGTACAACAGATAAAATGGGGTGAAGTTTGTTGTTTCATGTTTCGCCGTGTTGTAGGCGTACGTGATAAAAGGCAGCACTTCATTCCAGTTCTTGTGATTGGAACAAACGTACATGGCAAGCATGTTGGTCAGCGTTCTGTTTGTCCGTTCAACGAGGCCATTCGTCTGCGGATGATACAGTGTGGAATGATGAAACTGTCGATTCCCGGCTGCGGCAGCTGCATTTCCGATGGAGGCGGAAATGTTGTAGGCCCGTGTACTCGGATTTGGGTGCACGTTAAAGAACCCCAGGTGGTCAAAATTTCCGGAGCCCTCCACTACGGCGTCTCTCATAATCAAATGGTGGTTTTGGGACGTTAAACCCTACATATCAGTCAATCAATCAATGATGAAACTGTGTCGTGCACATGCGTAGTAATTCTTCAACGGCATCAGCAGTGAACTGACTCTTGTAAATAAAGCCATTTCATCACAGCTCGCTGTAACAATATATAAGTGCTGGGCAGTGTGCTTTTTATTTAGAAAATGCATAGGTTGCGTTCGACAGTAGTGGACGCAGAATTTCAGGCCTATCACATTCTACTGTAGACCGTCTAGTATTGGTACTCACTGAAGGTTTGCTAGCGCTGGACATTAAATTGACACTTCTGAAGACCGAAGTGTCTATTACGCTGCGCTTACAATGCGACGCTATGAACGAAAAAGCGGGTGTTTCCTATAGGCTTCGCTAAAACACCACGAGGCCCGCACTGAACGCGAAGCACTGTCACAACGAAAGCTAGAAGAGCGGCCTTTCAGAGCCTTTTTTTTTAACACTCTTTAAGTATCTGCTGCAAGCACACTTGCAGCTAGGTACCCCTTACGCCATTATTTATAGGCAGGCATTCACTATGCCATATGCTTCGTCAGTCTTCAGAAAAGCGTGGTACCTGCTGCGCAATTTCCAGAAACTTAGTGCATTTTTTGTGTGATGTGGCTGACGACAGTGAAGAACTACGCCAGAAGCTTTTGTAATCCCCCCGATTCCCCACAGTGGGTATGCACCACACTTAATAGGAGAACAAGACCATGCTTTTGTAAAGGGTTGGAGCATTCGACGACCCACTCTTTGCGGCGCAATTTGCATTATCTGACACCTGGTTGTTTCTTTGTGTTTGTATAACGCTTTATTACTCGTAATAACGTGATTTCTTTCCCGAAATCAAAAACCTGCCTAGGGACAATTTTCATGGGCGTTCCAGGCACCGCCATGACTCGGTGGTGGAATGCTGGGCTGGCAGGCAGGGGACCCGGGTTCGAATCTCATTACGTTCTTGATGATTTTTATTTACTAACTTTTTTTCTTACTTCGTGCGAAGTGTTTACGGACCCCTGCGGTGGCGGACACCTGCGGCGCGCACGCGGCCCATGTGTTGAAATCTCATAACAGCTTTCGCTGTGAAAAATCAGGAGCTTCAACTAAAATGACCCAGTGGCTCTCTGTTCTGCAAAACTTTGTGTCTTCACATTGCCTCCAGGTGGCACTATATCTCACATAGCGCCCCCAGGAAGAAAACTATCGTCTTTGACGTCCCTTGCAGCAAAGCACGGAGATACGCAGCCAATTTTTTGTTCTGCTTCTTATAGTCTCAACAACATTGCTCGTAGAAATTAGTCGGAAATAACCTAGGTTGGGTTAACATTCCCCTCTTCCTGCCTTAAGGAGTGCACATTAGGATTAGGGTGATGTAGGTGGCTGGCGGATATAACCTTGCGAAATTCACAGGCAGTTGCCCTACCTGGTTTTTATTTTCTGATCGTATTGAACCAATGTCACTTTTAAAGCGAACCGCGGGGAAATACATACGTCAGTTTGTATGCCAATTGTATTGACCTCCTCCGAATATTCTTTTGGTCTTTGCAAATGAAGAGAAACGACCACGAAACTTATCGCAGAGGCCGCAAAGCTAGTTTACAGCGGGCTTGTGTTGCTGTTAAACTTATTTGCACTTCTCCAGGACATTAGGAAAGGAGGATGATGAAAAAGGAAAGGCAGAAAGATCAACCAGACGCGCGTCTGGTTGCTATCCTACGCTAGCGAAAGGAGATTAAAAGATGAAAAGGTAGAACATAGAAGAACAGAACATATACAAGATACGCGTGAGCTTAAAGTACACTGCTGCGTTCAACTGTCGTGGGCGCAGAATTTCAGGCGTATCACGTTTTACTGTAGACCATCTAGTTATGGTACCCACTCAAGGTTTGCAAGTGCTGGACAATAAATTGACAATAATGGGCAAAACAATTTTTCGCGTATTCATCAAGTACTATTCCATAATTCCGAAAACACTACTCTTACCACGAGACGACGCTTGGTGAGCGAGGAAAACATCAGAAAATGAATTCCAGGTGGAGACGCCACATTGAGATTTTCGCACCAAACACCGTGACGTCATAAACTCTAAAGGCATATACTGGGTCATACGTAGCTTCTAATTGATTAAAATGAAGTACGTTGTTATCTGTGGGTGCCATAGACCTAGCATGCAAAGTTTCATGAACTTTCATTGTGCAAATGCCACGAAACTACGAAAAATATACTTTGAAACTTGTTACGTCATGCACAGATATTTGTGCGCGAAATTTAAAAATGAAACTTCAAAGTTGATTTTAATTGCTAATAATGAACTTATGATAGTAAGAATTGTTACATTACAGTCTTCGAAGGGCAGTTTATTAATCTAAACCAAGTTATTGTTTCTCTATTGTGTCCCTTTTAGTCCAGTGAATACTTTAGAGCTTCGGGTAACGACATAAAATGTAATGGCGCAATTCCCGCAAAGATAAGCCTATAGAGCTTCCTTCGCTTCTTATCCCTTTCCTGCCTAGGTAGCGTTTTGATTGTTCCCACTGCTTTGACGATATCAAAAAGAGCACAAGGCAGTTTGCTGTTGGCCTTATGTTGCTCGACTCTTGTGCAGAACCCCCGTTACTCATCATGGAGCTGGTTTCGCGGGGCAAGCTGCAGTCATTTCTGCGCGAACACCGTTCCCAGGGTGCGTACTACAACGAACCCGAGGACGACGGTTGCCTGGGGCCACGAGACCTGGCGCAGTTTGCCCTACAGGTGGCGCAGGGCATGGACTACATCCACAGGAAAGGGGTCAGTATAGCAGAACATGCCGGTTGTCTATGTGTGCACACACCAACCAGTAACGTAGCCAGGGAATGGCACACCAGCCCCGTACCCCCCCTCCCTACTTTTTCCCCATACGTACAGAGCGAAATACCCTTACCCCCCTCCTCCCGAAATAAATTTCTGCCTGCGCCCATGACACGAATACCACCGATAAGTCTGCGACACACAAACGACTATATTCGGCAGCTTCGTCTCCAGCATCCCAAGCGCTATACTTCGACTGCGAACGGAGGGTGGAGTTCCCTATGCTTTTCATACGTGAGCCACTTTTGTTGTTGGCAATCTCCATTTGTTAATATTATTCCCTATTTACCAATGGCTGACGTTTTATTTTACGAGCAATCTATGAAAAAATTCTCCATTATTATTCACCCGTATGCAGCTCGTGAGTGCAAGGAAGCAAATGCTGATTTCTCAGAACGACAGCTTCCCGGTTGTCTCAACATATGTTGTCCTAGTCTAGGGTTCAAACACCGACTCGAATCAGGACAGATCAAACGGCTAGATCACATTTCATTGCTTCCATTAGCTTTCCTTCACACTGTGGGATTCCGCAAAACCCAATTTCCACGAGCGATCTATGTATAGTGCCAGAGCGTTTTTGTGAACACCAACGTCGAGGACATTTTCCGCACACACTTCTCTTACTGTATGCGAGAACGACGTCCGGAAGAACGCACGGGGGCGCACAGGGTAGCGCAATTTTATGGCGATTGCATCGGGGACAACTGCATTCGACCATGTCCATCGGATATCCGGCCGACCAGAGGCGCGGCCGAGCAGCATCCGCTACAATTAAAGGGTCGTGTGGCGTTTCGCCAGCAACCTCGACCATGACCCAATGGCGGCAACATTGATGGCCCAGCTTGTATGTGCCACTTGCACTGGCTTGAGCACCGCCAGCCAGGCCGCGCAACATCGTTCTGCTATTAAATAACGTACAAAAAGCTAGAGACACAGAGATGTCCTACTAATCTGTAGATGCCACTCTCGGTTCATGAATGCGTGCTAAGCAGGTTGAAATCACTGTAATACACTGTAATCTCTGTGAATGCTGCAGAAACAAAGCTTATTTCACAGCTAATGAGACATCGGTTTTATGATCACTCGAAAAGCGCATTATATGCTTAGAATTAAAAAAACGAGAAAGATTTTATTGTATCTCAACTAGCGCAGCTTCGAGAGAAATATCGTGGGTCTCAAGAAAATCAGTACGAAAGCGCGCAGTTAAGCACCATCATTCAATGAGATCCGATGAAAATTAATGCACACAGAGTAACTAACACAATAATATGATACTAAATGTTCCCCGCAAACTGTTGGCCTCTCTTTATAAATATATGTTAAGCCATCGCTTAAGCAGGCAGAAACCATGTCATTCTTCCGAATAATACGGGGACCAGTCAGCGGAAGGAGGAGATCTCGGCAAAGAATGGCAGACGTATGGAGCCAGCGGCGTCACTGTGTGTATTCAAATTCAAGCAGCATAAGCTGATATAGCGGCACCGAGTACATTAACAAAGAAGCACCGTACTTTAAACGTCTTCAAATATTATACACCACTTCGGTATCTTTGATTTAGTGGCCCTCTCTACACTCGAATTAGGAGAGTCCAGCACTTTCTTTGGTTGCATCGCGTTCTTTGAGTTGACTTCGTTCAAGGCCGATTCAGCACAAATGCAGAGTTATCCTGCACTCGCCCTGATATTTACAGAAAACGCAAGTTGCTTTTTCACCGCACAATGAAAGTCTTGTTGCACCAGCGGTGGCGTATACTCTGTATGTTCACGGTCTTAAAATCCATATTTTGCAACATGCAGATCATCCACCGTGACCTGGCCGCCCGGAACGTGCTCGTGGACGAGCACAGCCAATGCAAGGTGGCCGACTTCGGCCTGTCTCGCAGTGTGCGCGATTCCGAAACGGACGTCTATCAGCAGAAGTCCAAGGTATATGACCGTAGAACAAAACGTGGCGCAAATGTAACACTGCTATTCGTTCATTGCAGAACACCACGTCGCGTTTTGTGGCTGGAAGTATCAGAAATCAATTGTCGACACTTGATGTTACGTTATACGTGTAACTATCGCACTGCTTCGTGCATATGCACAACACTTCATTCAGTGAGCATTGGCTTGGACACAGAGCATAGAAAAGTCCACTTCGGTGGAACAGTGGCTAGGGCGCTCGGCTGTTGACCCAAAGGTCGCGAGTTCGATCCCGCCCGAGGTGATCGCATTTCGATGCAGGCGAAATGGTGTAGGGAAATGATGGAGGGAATGGAGGCCCGTGTACTACGCGATTCAGTGCACGTTAAAAGACACCAGATGGTAAACATTTCCGGAGCTCCCTACTACAGCGTCCCTCATAATCATATTGTGAATTTGGGACGTAAAACCACAGATAATATTATTTAGAGCATACAAAAGCTGTATGACACCGTTAGACCAGTGCTCTGCCGGTAAAGTGCGATATGTTTCTAACATGTGTACCCAACATGTCATAATATACTTCGTAGAAATTTTTATGAAGTTATCTTGAAACGACTTCATCTATGTTTCACAGCATTCATAGTCTCCAAGTTAGCCGTGAATATTTGCTCTTGAAAGTTATTCTTCAGATACGTTGCTAATGAGTGACATATCATCTCCTTGTCCTGTGGAGACAGAGGCTTTTTGCTCCATTGTGAAAGTTTTGGCATGAATTATGGAGTTAAATCTTAATACTGCTGCTTAAAAGCGGCAAAAACATAAATATAAACGTCAAGCGCAAAAACAAATTGACGAAACACAGGAAAACAAGTAGACAGGACTTTTGCGCTCGACTTTAGACATGCACCAATTTGCCCAGCAACGCATCTTATCAAGTTAAAAGCGGCAGTTTTGTTGTGACTCTGACTCTCTATATAGGTACACGCAACAAAATTAGTGGCAAAGTCGTAGAATGTTTACATTCATTATGAGGTGCAATTAAGATAACGATTTCCTTATGGTCCACTGACCTAACAGATCTTTATTTAAATCTTTATTTAGATGTTTAATAATTTAAATTTATACCGTTGACGGCTGTGCTGTCGGCATCGCGCATTGCACATGTGTTGTAAATTATGACTTCGAAAATTTAGGCTAATGCCAAATCACGCCTGAGCAAGAGGGCAGATGCCACGCACGCCAAATAATAATAATAATAATAATAATAATAATAATAATAATAATAATAATAATAATAATAATAATAATAATAATAATAATAATAATAATAATAATAATAATAATAATAATAATAATAATAATAATAATAATATAGTAATAATAATAATATAATAATAAACTGAAAAAGCTGGTGAAAAACGCTATGCCAGTGGTATCCTAGAATGTAGACCAATGGGAACATACGGTGCAGCTCCACGCTTACGCACCGCTTAGATCACTCCTAACATGATCTGCACGGATTTTGTATTACCTAAGTGTTTTCACAAACTCCCAACTGTCCACATTGAAGTGCCGCTGAAGGCAATTAATGTGTGTGTGTGTTTTTATTTTCTCTCGCTTCTTTTCTTGCGTCGCAAAAAGGGTGCGCTACCGGTGCGGTGGATGGCCCCGGAGTGTCTCTACCTGCAGGTGTTCACCACAAAGTCCGATGCGTGGGCCTTCGGAATCCTGCTGTGGGAAATCGTTACGCTGGGTAGGCATGCCTATTTCATTCTTTTGCTGGCTTGCAGCAGTACATGGCGGGGGGAATACACAAAGAATGTGGCCTCATTTAGGTGCGATTTTCAGCAAGAATATCCGCCATGTGACGGTCGCAGTGCCAAAAAAAAATCGAATGAAGGTCGCCGAGGAGACCAGCTGTCGCGGCATGATTCGTCACATCTCTTCTGTTTGACCTGTAGTGTGAATCAAGTTGTCTCGCTCTGAGCCCGAGAAGGCGCTAGGAAGTGGAGCCAATCATAGCTTCCTAAAATTAACTATAGGAGACTCTGGCTCTGCAATCATTCAACCACCATAGGAACAGTGGGTGTATAGTACACGGATCGGCCTGGTCTTCGTGCTTGAGGCTGCCGCGCCGCGGTGGTATAGTGGCTAAGGTACTCGGCTGCTGACCCGCAAGTCACGGGATCGAATCCCGGCTGCAGCGGCTGCATTTCCGATGGAAACAGAAATGTTGTAGGCCCATGTGCTTAGATTTGGGTGCACGTTAAAGAACCCCAGGTGGTCGAAATTTCCGGAGCCCTCCACTACGGCGTCTCTCATAATCATGTGCTGGTTTTGGGACGTTAAACCCCACATATCAATCAATCAATTAACGGCTTCAAATGAACTTGTGGCTTTGTTCATGGCTGTGTTTTGATTTTCTTTCCAATAAAAGAACAACCCGTTGTGAGCTTCGTGACCCAATTTGAATGGGCGAGCCTAAAAAGTTGAGGTGTTGAAGTGCAACTGCTGAACTTTTGCTGATTATCGTATCGTGACAACGCGGTCACGCGAAGTCATTCGGAGCCGCAAGAACGATGATAAGACACATTTGTGTACTACCCATCATTCCCATACTGGCTGAAGTGCCGTGCGTCGTAGCTCCTATGGACACTAATGCGGCAGAGTTCCCTCTAGTGTACTTACAGGCAGCGCCTCCTCTATTTTATCATTGCAAGCCAGACCCGCCCTATCAGCCGTTCACCACCATCTCCTCTAGCCCTTTCCTACTCCTGCCCATCGCCTAGCCTTCATTAGTGCTTTGTGGTCATGGGGGAGAGAGCCCATTATGTAGCGCCTCATGACGGAAATCATATGAAGTAATTTTTTGTTCAGTTGCATACAGATCCGTGGGGCGGTGTCTTGCATTCCTCGTGTTCATAATGTTGGCTGTCACGCTGGCTCTGTAAAACATACGGTGTTTTGAGATAGCGTGCCTCCGTTCGTGGCGCTATGCGGGCCACCAATGGGGAAGCGTCACTTCAACGCAACTGCACGCGCTAACTCAAAGAGCACTTAAAGAGCACTGTGATGCAGCAGCGGCATTCCTACGAGCCACAAAGGAGCAGGAAGGAAGAAATATGAGAGACGCGTGATATTGGAGTGGGGAGCACGTCTCCGGGGAAGGAGCACGTCTCCGGGGATGCTTGTGCGACGCAAGCAGCACTGCCCATTATGTGGCGTCACATCATGACCATTCTCTGAGCTATATAAGGCGGACCGACGGCTCCAGTTGAAAAGCGAGCGTTTGCACTGGAATTGAAAGAAATAAAGGAGACATTGTTATACAGGAAACTCTATGGCACAAAACAACTGCTGTATACTGAGTATGGCGGCACGACAGCCATCGTTTGGTGAGCTTAGTTTACACCATCGTAGCGTGAATGCTACGATGATGAAACTTGTATTTGGAGCTACATTGCACTCCGCCATAGCTAAATGAAAAGCCACGAAAAAGAGAAACGTGCGACGAGTAAAACTAGTCATAAAAGTTCACTCATGATATAGGAGATACCCGTTGAAACACTGTAGTAAAATTACTGTACAGTGTCCCATAAGGTACGATCCCACGATATTTTAGTATTTTACAACACCGCCGTTAATACGTACGGGTGAGAGACTGAGAGAGAAAAAGCAGGGGCGTTAACCAAGCTTGGCTTGGTTGGCTACCCTACACTAGGGGGGAGGAGCGGGAATAATAGAGAAGAAAGGATAGAGAAGAAAGAAGAAGAGTAAGAAAGCGTTGGATAGTCACCTCGAGACTACACAGCATCGTCTCACGTTGTTGGTTCACAAGCAATCGTGAAGCCCGGTGGTCCTTAAAAAGCACAAAGGAGCTTTTGTGGCTTTGCGCGTATGCCAGACCATAGGTCTTCAAGGTCCTAGAATCTTTTTTTTTTTCTGTAAGTGGTCGCGAATCCACATGACGGAGCTTGACTTCCATGGCACTTCGTTCAGATTGGTATGATGGGCAGTGGCAAAGAACGTGCACAAGCGTCTCCTCTCAGGTTGAATGTGTGAAAGGTTCAAATGACCTTAGAACCTGCGTACGTTTCAGCGAACCGCGGGAATCTTGCCCGAATGTTCCGAATAGTATCTCGTCTATAGGATAGAAAGTGCATTTTGGTGCCTATATTACTGATCACCACATAGGGCTTTTTTTTTTCTTTTTTCGCCTACTTCTCACTAATGGTTCAGTGTGTTGTGGCCGCCGAGAGATGGCGGCCAACCCCGACCTATCATGTTCCCAACCACACTGCCTTTAAACCAACCGGTGGGCCGTTTTCACCTGCTTGCTCATAGGTTCCACACCATACCCAGGCCTAAGCGCTCAGGAGGTGATCCATGCAGTACGCGACGGTCGCGTGATGGCACAGCCGGTGCACTGCCGCTGGGAACTGTACCGACTCATGCGTGCCTGCTGGCACCCAGACCCGAAGGAGCGGCCGCCCTTCTCGAAGCTTGCCACCGACCTTGATCAACTCATCAAGCTGAACGCCGGATACATTGACCTAGACAACTTTCCCGAACACGCCTACTACAATATCGAATATGGCGTGGACGAAAAATTGTAGACATCTCCTATTGACTTCTCCCCTTATTGCCGGACACCTGCGGCTGAAGGCGTCCGGCAACTATTGTGTTGCCTCGCATCAGTTGTGTTTCTCTTTATTTTATTTTCTATTGGCTGTGTGAAACATCCCAAGAATGAAACAAGGACATTTGTTGTGATGTTACCACCAAGCGTGTGGCTGAGAGGCCTGACGGCTGTGAAGTGAGAGAAGCCGCACAGGCTGCATAATGGACCGCCAGTGAATAGACGCCGCGCCTGAAGATTTTCTGACTTTGTTCACTTAAGGACATTTAAAGGATGCCAAGTCTGTTTCGTGACAGTAATCGAATCAGAGACTCGTGCATGTGCATTTTGATGTATAGCATTTAAGGTTACTTGTGTGCTTTCAATTCCAACGTGGAAGTTTCGCTGCATCCAAGGAGGACTAAAAAAATTACTGGAGTGGGAATGATGGCCCAGGAGTGAAGCCATTCTTCTGGCGAAATGGTGGCGGTGGTAGCCATCTTTATAGGGGCATGATAAAGTATCACCGTTCAGCGATTAAAAAGGGAGCATTTCCCTCGCACGCCCTACGAGTTTAATGTGAGAACTTTTTCGGGTCACATAGTGCTCCAAGTGCGTCTTACAGTACTAATTTTCCTTAGTAAGCCTTTAATTAGAGGCAAAGTTCTCTGAAGATTCAGTCGTCCATACTCGTTTCTGTGTGTTATTTCATCGGGAACAACTATCTTTTAATATAGAACTAACGTAGCATTTACATAACATATCAAAGCCACTTGATCTTTAAGTGGGCACTATCAGAAAAGAGCATATTTGTGCCATCTTGGCAGTGGCAAAAGGTGGCTTCACTTCTGCTGGCAAGGCATTGCGGAAGCTTCCGCTCCAGCAATTTTTATTGAATCCTCCTTGGCTGCATCTGGTCGTTTGACGTGCGTGCAAAGGTCGAAGTTAACTGTACCATCACGTGCTAAACTGAAGCATTTTGTGCTTCAAATTGCTAAGAGCGATGTAAATTCCCAGGTTGTTGCATTGCGAGCTCCATCAAGAAAGGTGCGTAATAAACAAAAGCTGTCATTGACTAGGAAAACGCTGTAAGAAAAATATGGTACATCCTAACAAAGCAATCTACAGACTGCATTCAAATAAATCATATATCCATTACACAATACAATGCCAACTTAGCAGTCATGTGTACAGCTGCCTCGAATAGTTTTTTTTTTTTTCAAGCCTAAGGTGAACAGCCTGAACAGTCGCCAAACTGTAGTACAACTATACTTCGATCAACGCCATAGCATACAAGAAAGGCTGTGCACAGATCTCAATGTCATGTACCATACAGTTTCTAGCTACTCCACCCAGTATATACAGTTAAGCTGGAAAAACTTAACACAGGTACTGAGGCCTCAAGCTTGAAACTTGCGCAAGCATGAAAAAAAGTGCAATGCGAATGTAAAAATGTGTCAGCTGCATCGTCGGTGAGATTGTTGGCCTGAACCACACAAGCACACACACGTAATATTTAGCTTCGGATAAAAATTTATTTCATAAAAAAATAATGTGCATCTACGCAAGAAGCATTCATTCGTTAAGCTGCATGATTCCTCTAGCGGATGGAGGACAACGCATATAATTAGCAGACGGAAGACCATAACTAACCTGTAGTTTAGGAGAAAGGTATATTTCAAAAGAACGTCGCAAAATCTGTTTCCTTTTGTAGCGCATGGGAGTTGCTACATAGCTACATAGCAAATCTACATAGCTGTGTATAGGTAATAAAAATGATGTTGAGTTTGTTCTCACTCATTTACCATGGTTAAACTTGTACCAGCTGTTCTTGCCTAATTGGTTAAATGAAAATTTTGTTTACATTGCTTCTACACATATTGTTTTGGTCTACAATAAGGCCGAAAATGAATAAAAGAGCGAGATGCACAGAATCAGGTGCAAACTTGGGGGATCATGTTAATATCTAACCACATTCCTTCCCATGTCTAGCTAATTATCCTGCCTAGCTGCCTTCCGGTTATCTGGTCCTTGACATATGAGCAAACACGAAGGCCTTAAATGTCAAGTGAATGGTCAGTGTATCCGAAACTGATTATCCAAAAAGTGTTGAATTCTCGCTGTGGATGACATAAGCGTTCGATGCTTTTTTGGAACTGCCATGCGAAGGTCTCAATATGTTTGTGACAAGTTGTGCATGTTGGCTTCGCGCTGTTTTGGGTGAACCCCGAGCTTCACGAACGCTTGCGAACGCGGTATTTCGGACACTATATATACGTACAATCAGTCATTCGACAGACGCGAGACGTCGGGAGAACTTTGTAAACTACTGGCACTTTATCAAACTTGGCACAAGAAGTTTATCACCAGTCGTCCTCGATAGTACAGCAGACTGTGCCTGTGCGCTCAACGTTCATGTGTATACACGTATTCAGTTCATTCCAATGCTTGTGTATTCCCGCTCTCCGCGCGAGCATCAGACTGTACTCTTCCTGAATATTGGTTTGTGTGCGTATTAAATGTTGCTGTGATTATGCGTATTTTTGTGTTAAGATATTTTTGGGTTCAGTAAACTGATAAAGAAACTTACTCGGCAGACAAAAGAAAGACAGAAAGAAGAAAGTGTACCTTTAAGTTGAACGCCCCGACGCGTGGCCTCGGCTCACTTGGACTGAGATCAGCGCCACCAAGCGTTGAAAATGATATGCTTGCTCCAGTTAAGGATAGATATAGCACGCGTCGTTTTCACTAGTAAATTTGTGTTTCCAATCTGCCTGACCAGCGGGTCGAATGCACTCACTTCGCAACCCGTTTTCGCCACGTTTCCCTCGTGGCGACGTTATCGCGCGCACCCATGGCGTTGGTTGCCTAATACTTATCTCGACAATGAACCATTGCCTGCGACAGCTTACGCATCTTTCGTGCTTGAGTTCGCAGCTGCTGCTCAAAAGGAATCACGTATAAAAAGCAGAGCGAACGCACTTTTGAGGTGCTTGTAAAAATTGCACAATAAATTTGAAAATGCAGTGGGGTTGTTCATGTTCTCTTAAATAATTTTCAGAAAACGTGAATCGAACTGTTCTAGAAATTTAGAGTGTGCCTTTCTGCTCGGTTCGTGCTGCACGGAAGATGTGGTTTTGAAGCACCAAAATTTGTGCGGGTAAGAATATTTCTGATTTAGCGTCCCAGATGAGATGGCAGCTTAAGCTTTTATGCGATAACTACGCACAAAAATCGCTTTGTTTGCGTTGTATTCATGAGCCTTTCTTGCTGAGAACATTGCGCTCCATAAGACATCTTCCATGCAACATGAACCAAACAAAAAGACGCGCTCTAAATTGCGAGAACAGTTCAGTTGACGCTGCCTGAAAATTATTGAATCAAAACATGAACAACGCCACCGCATTCTAGATTTATTTATTGTGGAACTTGTACAAACGCCATTAAGATGCGTTTGCTCTGCTATTTATACATGTGATTCCTTGCTACGAATTCGAATTCGTAAGGTGCGTAAGCTGAGGCACGGAATGGTTCATTGTCGAGATAAGCATACAACAACGAACTTCATGCATGGGCACGCGTGATAACGTAGCAACAAGCAAAACGTGGCGAAAACGGGATGCAAAGTGAGCGCATTCGACCCGCCGGACAGGCAGACTGGAAACAGAAATTTACTAGTGAAACTGACGCGCGTTACATCTATTGTTAACCGCAGCAAGCATATCATGTTAAATGCCTGGGGCGCAGGCGTTACTGCCTACGTCATTCATATGGATATAGCATTGAATATAGTCACGCAAAGCCTTTGAACAGTGACTAGTCGCTTTTCAAAACTACTTTTACCATTATGTTATCAAAAGGAATAAAAAAATATTTGGTATGCTGTCTTAGCTCTTTCAGTGAACTGGATTAGATAAGAGCGCTAAAAGACGGGCACAAGAAGACAAGCCTCTTGTCTTCTTGTGCACCCTATTTTTGCTCTCCAATCTATTCCATACTGTGAGCTAACTCGCCCATCAAAACGATTTGTTTAGTTATCATTCAGTGAAACTTAATTCCACCAAAATCAGAGCTGCGCAGGCTATATATTCGAGGCTTTCATACCAAAAAGCAAAATTACTCTTGTACAGATAAAGCTTAACCAGCTTTGACGTTTTGTTTTGCCTCGATAGCACGACAAACTCGAGTGACGTGTCCTTCTGGTGCCATGGTCTCATTGGATAGAGTGTCTTATCATTTGAGCAATGATAATACATCACTTACTACACCGACAAAAGAGCCAAGCAACTTCAACATGCGTGCATTTTGTTCAATAAGGAACACAGGTGCCGCTGATAACTACTAAACTTCGGCATTACTATTAGCTTTAAGCCAGCTGGTGATTGTGGACATGGCTACTCACACATATTTGAACGCACCAGCGTTCATAAGCCAGCTCAGTAATTATTAATCAGTCGTGTTAGTTACGGGGGGGGGGGGTGCGTTGATCTTCTACTGCACTTTTTCACGAGAAGTTCTTGGTAATATTATTTCATGATCTAGTCAGCTCTTTCAATAAAAAGTTCTTTGATTGCAAGCGTGCACTGCTTAAACGTATATATAGATCAAAAGGTGTGAAGTATAGCATCAATTAAGCGAGATATTGCAGTTAAAGAGCATTGAAAGCATGCTCGTGGAGAAGCTAGTCATGCGTTAACAGACTCATAAGTCTACTAACTCCGACTCACCTATACTCAGAGCGAGCCATGAGTCTGAGTGAATTCGAGTGAGTAATATTATGGTGGGTTTGAGTGCCAGCGAGTTCGGTTGAAAAAAGCCGCCCACATTTTCTCACTGGGGTAACTCGAGTAAATGCGTTGCAGAGTTGTTGGGGTATCACGGGAATTTCGCGTAATTTGGTATTGTTCAGAAACGCTTACTTGTTATTTCGTCTTCATTATTCTTATTTATTGAATGAAGGAGAAACGTTGCCTTCAAATAGAAGTGGTACGCTGATATTGGGTTGTGCCACACTACTGGTCGAAGGTACCTTTGCTTCCACCGCATTACTTGAGTCAAGCAAAGAGTCAAGTCAAGCGAAAGCAAAGTACAAATTGGCCCTGTATCTGCATGTTACACTTCAAATGTCGTGGAAAGACGATAGTGTTGCGTCTGGAGAGAGTGAACAAAACGTTTATTTGATGCTCTGCGCAAAAAATATGGCGTTAGAGTGCCTCTAGCGTGCAGCGGAGGCGAACGAGTGCATCGAGTCACGTCACACGTGAGACATGAGCGCTATCTGTAAGTTATCTTGGAAAGCGGAGCGCGCGCGCCCTGCACGCCCGTGTCGGAGGTGATAAGGTGTAGAACGCAAGGCGACAGGTAGGTGCCGCCACCTTGTTATCTTTGCAAAGCGTTGGAAACACTTGCCTTTTCGTGCAAGCGTTGCATGGTCAGCGCAACGTGATAAACGCTACAGTATTTAGAATTACTTATGTATGCCTTTTATACTAAGAGACACACATACAGAATATTGACGTGTTGTTATGGTGCCTCAGATATGCGCAATAAATGCTTTTTTGATTGGCAATCGCACAAGTATGAAAGCTGAATCTTCAGCAATATTGGTGGGCGCAGCGGATGGGGTCGGCTGTTTGGAGTATCGTTTGGCCACTTTAGTGCCGTTTAGGGTACCGTTAAGGATAGACAAACACACATGTGTACAGACATACAGACCAAAAGTTTTGCGTCGAAGGCCCCCAAGAAAGACTATTGTCTTTAAAACGCCCTTGACTGAATTCCGAACGCACATTCCGCCGCCTACTTATATACACACCGCTCGCGTTCGAGGGGAAGGAGTACGGGGAGAGGCCCACGCCGCCACTGCGCATGCTCGGCTTGCTGAACGCTCGGTGGTATCTTATCCTTTAATGGCCCTTGGAGTGGCAGTATTGCACCTGGTGTCTTCCTGGGCTGGCACGAGACGCGAGCATGCGCGTAGGGGGGTGTGGACGACAACGCTGAAGCGCGCCTTCGTGTGACTATGAAATGCTCCGCATTTAAAAAAGAATCAGTGAGTATGTGTCCGAGTGAATCCTCTTGGGGAAAATTTTGGTGAGTTTGAGTCTTAGTTGGCCCTGCGGGCAAAGTGCCTCTCATGAGGGAGTCTGAGTGAGTTCCACATTTTTCGCCAGCCTATGTAGCTGCGTACGCACGTTCGTATATAAGCTTCACCAAAGCTTACAAATATTACATTCACGTGATTGTAATTCGTAAGCTTCACTGAACTGGCCGCTTAGATCATATCGCGTGAGGTAGCAGTTGAAGCAATGTCACCCGATTATTATGCTGTAATATATTAGAGCTTTGGGATTAAATCAAAGACAGAAAGAGAGCTAATTATCATGAAAACGGTAAGAGAAAGAGCAAGACGACGTTCTGTTGGTGGCATCTGTATCGGTTTAACGAAGCACTAAACATCTGCCTTGTGTATTTTTAAGTACAAGTTTCACAAATACCCATATATTGGGCAAGCACTGCGTGTATGCGTCATGCACTGGTTTTTCTGTCTTTGCCCGAGGTACTTCACCTTCACGTGATTCGATACCGATGCGTCATAATGCATTGGTAGACAAGAGGTTCACTTTGAACGAAAGGGGATGTTTCCCGAGACCTCATGGTCAAAACCAGAAAATTTAATTGCCACATGTTATTTTAGGGATCGCTAGCGTCAGGGTCGCCATTTTAGAGGTACGCGTGCTCGCCACTCGCGCAAAAAACTCGTCGTACGTGCTGTGTCCGACATCTGTACGGCAGCTTGGATGTCTAGTGGCCTCTGGAACGCCTTCTGCACGCCGAAGCGCGGGCAGCTGGACGCGCGTACGAATGGACCTTCAAAATTTTATGGCGATAGTGTTGCCGCCCTGTCGATCAAGGGTCAGGGCATACCGCCAGTTGACTCGACAGCCATCAAAACGTGCCAAGCTGCTCGTACTTGACCATTGAATCAGTGGACTATTAGTCAAGGCCATCCAAATGCCCTTGCAATGCGGTTGTAAATGAAACGTCTCAAATTCTCATACAAACGTTTCCTCCGTGACGTTAACAGGGAAAAAAATCAACACTCCCATTTGTGGATTGGTCTCAAAAGCAAGTACAGCAAAGTGCGCTTTGGACGCTGTAGGTCTCGTCTATCGAACTAATAACTTGCGACGCCATTTTTTAGTAACTTGCTGTTTCTTCAAGAAAGGTGCAGGCAGCGTGCACAATCGTATAGCTGAAGAAGGCTTCGCCTGCCCCTGCCCGCAACGGAGCTAACATAAATTGCCGTCAACGAACACCCATTTGTGGTTTAGGCTTAACGATTTGCTTAAGGGTTAACCTGAAAACTCCCCGTATTACGAACGGCAGAAAACTGCACCTTCAGATAGGTGGAGAGACGCTGGAAGTTGTAAAGGAATATGTCTACTTAGGAGAGGTAGTAAAGGCGGAGCCGAACCATCAGAGCGAAATAACTAGAAAAATTAGGTTGGGATGCATCACATTCAGTAAGCATTCTCAA